ATCTATCTATCTATCTATCTATCTATCTATCTATCTATCTATCTATATTATCATCTGTCTATGTATGTTAGGAATGGGGGAAAAGGCATGCCAATAGGCTAGCAGCCTTTCCAATGCAAGGTAACCTATTCAGAAAAGAAATGCATTTTAAACCCAAGGACTGAAAAATAATAAGTAAAATTAAATTACTTGCCTTTACAACTGGGAAAAATAGCTAGCTAACTTTGCATCAAAAAGAACAAGGATAAATCAAGGCACCATTCTTCTATTTAAATCCATTTTCCTTCTCATTAAAACATGGATGGGGGCATCAAGATGATTTTATTCTTCCTTTCCTGCTCTGAAATTAAAGCCCCTGTTCATCAATGACAACTCCCTAAAGCATTTGATTGCAACAGCAATAAATACATTGGCATAATAAAGACATGTATATCTTTCTGTTTCAGATACGATTGCCCCAGTGCATTCTCAATGTAGCAATTCCACACCACACTCAATTACAGGCAATGTACTTAAATTATGCCTACAGCTCTAAGATAGAATGTTTGGGAGAGGTAGGACATTCCCCTTTTAACACTTCAAAAAGTATTTTGCGATTTATCTTAGGAAAATATCAACTTGAATTTTGCTCTTTTTTAAAATGAAATGAAACAGAAAGCACTCTAAGTGTTTTAGAAAGTCAGCACCGACCCAACCCCCCAAGAGAATGAATTATTTTGGGGAACATTAAAAAGGCAGGATAGAACATTTCTCTAAAGGAGAAATTGGGAAAATTTTAAGGGAGGCAGAAACCAGCACTATTCTCCCTGTCCCAAGCAGAAAATGAGGAAGGCAGCTTTTAGAAATGCAGATTTGGAATCCATTCAGAAAGACTGGGTGAGACAGAAACTCCAGGTACACAAGACAAGATTAGCGAAGACAAACACATAGGATTTGCATTTCCCCTTTTGCCTATAGAGCCCTGCATGACCCCTTAGAAATCAAAAAGGTATAAAAGCCCACCCTACTCTCAACTCCATTTTGTCAGCTGTCCCAGAACTGTTGATAGTTATGTTCATCAATAAACAGAATCCTTTCCAATCATCCTCCATTTTATTCCCAGCACCTTTCTCCCAGCTTGGAATTGGACCTGGATTTTTCTTCCAACAGTGTCCAAGCAGAAATAAATGTTTCACCCAGAAAAAAGAAATGGCTTGATGCTTTAAGGAGAGGAAAAAGTTAAATGGGAAGAAGAAGAAACCTGGTCATATTGGACCTGACCCTACTGGCCTTTTGTAAGGGCTTAAAGGTAGAGCTGTGACACTGGATGCAGGGATCTGACTATGCAGCAGAGTTTATTCAGTGGTTAGGCTGAGTATACCTTGCAGTTTTCAGACCTGAATGGTTGGTTCTGTTACATATTTTGCATATGGTTTTCTATGCTTTTAAACCATGTCTTAAGATTAGACTTGTTCGCTTTCTAGTTTTTAAACCTCAGCTTCTAGTTGTGCAGCTAAGATGGGCAGCCATACAAATTGAAATAATAAATGCCAAGAATCAAATCAATTTGATCCAGCATTTGAGATGCTGAAGCTGCATGATGCTTCAAGGATTTTTTAACACTGATCATGGGTTTAAAAGTATGAAAGGTCTGGCCACTTCCCCATAGGGAACAGTACTGTAAACCATATTGGGATTTTACTTTATTTTTTATGAGAAGGGATGTAAAACTTTTTAAAATAAATACACACAAGAACAAATTCCCTTGGAAAGTTCAGTAAATTTCATTTGAGTACAGTGTAAGTGAAAGCATTGTAAACTAAATACAGTGAGTTGGATCAGTTCATTTTCTCAGTCGAAATAAAGCGTGTGGAACTCAAGCAAATGTTGACCTCCTCCTAAGGAGAAACTAATCATCTATAGGGTACTTGAACATTTGTAAAAGCCCATGCATTCAAACTGGGGTGGTGTTAAACTTAAATGAACCTAATGTGGATTATTACTCCCAGTTGAAGCAAATACCAAAAATAATCCATGCAACAATATCAAAAATCATTCATTTACCAAGTTTAAAAAGAAATGTTCATATTTTATTGCATGATATATGTCATTAATATCAATCACATCTATCTATCATCTATCTTCTACAGAATGTTTTTATGCAACTTTAATAAAAAATGAATCTAAGAAGCAATATATCATGGAAAAATACTAAAACATATAGCATAATACAAATTTCACCCCACATAACATTATTACCAGTATCCCCATATATCTTCCACTAATTTTCCAAATGCCTGCTTAATTTAAAAAAAAAAATGTTTTTACCAGTTTCTAAATATTAGTCACGCAGGTATTTTTTTTTTTGAGGGGTAGGGAATCAAGCATATGTCAACAAAGTAAATAAAACTACAGGTAGTCCTCAACATATGACCATAAATGAGCCCAGAATTTATGTTGCTAAGTGAAAAATTTGTTAAGTGAGTTTTGTCCCATTTTATGACTTTTCTTGCCACATTTGTTAAGTGAATCACTGCAGTTGTTAAATTAGTAACACGATTGTTAAGTGAATCTGGCTTCCCCATTGACTTTGCTTGTCAGAAAGTTGTAAAAGATGATTACAAGACCCTGGGACAGTGTAATTGTCATAAATACGAACCAGCTGTGAAGCATCTGAATGTTAATCATGTGACCAGGGGTTGCTGCAATGGTCATAAAAGTGTGAAAAATCATCACAGGTCACTTTTCTCAGTGCCTTTGTAGCTTTGAATGGTCACTAAATGAAATGTTGTAAGTCAAGGACTACTTATACATGTAATAAACATCATAAATTATGTAAGATACCACGCATCAAAGATATCATGTGTTCTGTTCCATGTCCTACTCAAATTAGCCTTTTCTCCAGGAGTGGGATTCAATTTTTTTAACAACCATTTCTGTGGGCGTGGCTAGGTGAGCATGGTCATGAAGCTGGGTGGGTGTGACTTCTTGGTTTTTTTGGCAGCAAATTCCCCCTCCCTCCCCCCCCCTTTTTTTTTTTGGCCTCCTGGGCCTCAGGAAAGCCTTCTGGGAGAAGCAGTAAGACAGTGAAAGGGATCCTGGCGCAGCTGATCATTGGAACAGCTGATCATCGGGAGAGGAAAAAAAAGAAGAAATACCTTAAAGAGTTATTGGACAGGAGAAGAACGCAGTCAGCAATGTCAGGCATGCATGCAATGTTGTGCATGCGCAATAAGGATTGCCTGGGTGGGGAGGGGAGGGGAGGGGCGGGCAGAGAGGGGTGGGGCCACCCAGGGCCACGATTTGCCGGTTCTCTGAACTGTGCAGAATCATAACAACCAGTTCTATCGAACCGCTCCTACCCCTGCTTTTCTCTCAATACAGCAGTACATCTAGTAATCCTCAGAGTAAACCTGACCCAAGGTGATAAGATGATACTGGCTCGTCTCCTACCTAATTTTGTTTGATAGAAAATGAAAATATAGAATGATAGCTGTTTCTCAGTCCTGTTTTTCAAGCAGTAACTAAGCGCAGCAGAGGGCTGAAATTCCAGAACACCCTAAAGTCTGTATTGAGTTACAATATGATGCTTCATGACACTTCTTTTGCCTAAAGCTTAAATAAGCAGAACTTCCAATTATTCAGATTTTGATGCTGGCTCAAACTAACTTTTGATCTAATAAGAGCAGGACTTGTTTAAGATTTCTTTTAAAAATTGGGACAAGTCTCAAAATAGGCTAGCTACCTTAAAGATAAACCTCTGCAGAAATTTAAGAACTTAGCATTGAAAGGTTTCAGCTTAGCTAAATTAGTCTATCAGGTTTATGTTCTCCCATGTTTGTTATTTTTAAATAAATTCTAATTTTCCATTGTCTTTATAGTGGGAGGGAAGGAAGGGAGGGACGGAGGGGGAGAGGAAGGAAGGGAGGGAGGGAGGGAGGGAGGGAGGGAGGGAAGAAGGAAATTATAACCAACTTAAGTTATTGCAAGCTACAAACACTTTTTTACAGATCAGAGATAACTGCCACATATTTTTCCAGGAGGCTCCATCTGAAGGTCCTAAATGTCAGATGACAGCATTCCAGTTAATACAATTTCTTCTGGAATCCTGTCACCCTTATTCCACAATATCTTCTACAGTAACTCACTTGTTCACAGGATCAATTCAAAGCATTGCAATTTCTTTTTTTTTAAAGCCCATCTTGATTTTAATGCAAGATGCCTAAGAGCTAATTCCCCATATTCTATAACCAATGGGATTGTTTTTTTTAAAGATATAATTTTGACTTCACCTTGCCTGAAGTGGTACCTTCTTGGTACATCTGAAATTATTTCATTCACTTTTTATTTAATATAACAACTGAGACCTGCTAAAGGAGCATTCTTAACAATTAGAAAAGGATGCAAATTGACACACTCTTCTTTTGAAGTGTTTTTATTCCCAAAGTCTTTTTCCACTTTTATAACACTTTATGACTTTTATAGGTTTGTTTTATTTTTAATTCTTGTAAACCTTCTGAAACAATGAAAAAGCATTAGAAAGCTATAGCATATATTTGTTAAGGTGATCTTGCCTCCTTCCCATTTCACATATAATTATTGAATTAAAACCTTAGTGGGACATTAAAAATACAAAACCCATTTCCAGGATACAGAACAATGAGATTTTGACAGATAAAGCACACATTAAAAGCAGAAAAGACCATAGTTTCCTTCCTAATTTTTTCCTGGGCCCAAATTCTCCCCCTCTCCTTTTGCAATTTATACCTCCTCTGATTTGGATTATTATAGGGCCATGCTAAAATGACTAATACAAACACATGCAGAAAGGAATTTAACTTTATTGCCTTTCAATCACTTTAGACAATTCATTTCTTATTAACACATTTGTTTGAAGCACAGTATATAGTGCTACAAATGGAATTATCTTTGAAATTAGAAGAGTGGTAGCGAGAAGAATCATTTTCTAATCAGAATTTACAGAGGTCCAGAGATGTACGGTAAATAGAAATAAGCAATTGCATTTATAGAAAAACTGAACTAAACTGAGAATTGGGGAGGCATATCTATTACGCTAATAGTACCACATGGGACTGTGTTGTAAAAAACATATGTATATCTAGAAGCAAAAATGCAAAGTTATCCTGAACCATATGGACAGCTCTATCATGCCAACTTTAATACCACTGCTTAGATATGTGATAGTTCACATATTTTTCCAATGAGAATCTTTCTGGCAGTTTAAATTTACTGTTCTTATTGTCGTGTTCTTATTTTTTAAAATAGTTATTTAATTGGTTTTGTAAGCTAATGAAGAAGGGTGCACATTCTTCTTATCAGTTCTCTAAAGAAAGAATCCAGCGAGTTTTGGTTACAAATTAACACATCCGTCCCATCTGATAGACATATCTTCTGCTACTTATGGGAGTGTCATTGAATTCATTCAGACCCCCTG